CTGTTTTGCCTAGAATTGAATCCGTCTGTCTGTCCAACTTAGCTTTTATTCAAGGATTGAAAATTCTAAAAAATAGAACTGCAGTGACAGCCATTTATGTGACAGCCATTTCCCTTTATGTGAATCCATAAATGGAAAAATATTCTTGGGGTGTAAATCATATAAAAAATATTGTTATTTCTGTTTGACACAATAAATCCCTAGTGTCTTCTTCTAAAAAATAAACCTCACCATGATTACACATTGCAAACCAAAAAGTTATCTAAAACTGGTCTCAATCAATTTAGAAGTTTAATTTGCCAAGGTAAAGGACATGCTGGTGACACAGACCCAGAAGGTCCTGAGTACATATGTCCAAGGTGATCGGGCTACCGTTTGGTTTTTACATGTTTTAGGGAGACCTAAGACATCAATTAATACATGCAAGGTGTAAATTTCTTCTGTTTAGAAACACAGGACAACAAAACGTGGGAGAAGGTCGGGGATCCAGGTCATAAGAAGGATTTCAAGGTTTTCTGATTGTCAATTGGTTGAAAGAGTTTAAAAACCTGGAATCAATAGAAGAAAGTGTCTGGGTTCAGATAAGGGGCTGGGTAGACCCAGGCTTTTATTATGCATCTTTAAAACTGATGCTAAATCTGGCAGCAGCATGATTGGGTCCTAGAGTACTGACATAGTCTTGAATATGCTGTTTGCTTAAAAGAGCTTCAAAACGTGTGAGAGACAGAAAGGCACTCTTCCATTGAACCTTAGTGTGCATTTGAGTTTCCATTTTCGGTTGACTCTCGTGTTGCTGCATGATGACTCTAGGACAAGGCAGAGACCTCCACGTCTCATCTATTTCCTGCTGCCCTCCCTTGCCAGCCCTCTTCCACCCAGGGGGATGGCCCAGCAGCAACTCAGTCCGTGCTTGATAATCACCCATCTCCATACCCCACGTCCAGCAAAGCTCCCTGAGTGACTCACAGCCACCAACCACCAGGGTGCTGAGCTTTCCTCTGTGTCCTTCCAGTGTCTTCAGATGACCAGGCGACTACCGTCGGACTCAGATCCTGGGAAGAGGAAGAAGACCTGGTTGAGCAAAACCTCTATGTAAGACTTCTTTTCTTTGTCTTCTAAAGAAATTTTGCTTTTGTGATTTCTTCTCAATTAATTTTCATACAAAAATCTGAAAATGTACATTATGTAGAGCGTATACAATTCTCTTTGTGGGGGTGAAATTCAGTGGGTGTGTCTTCCCAACTAACACGCAATACACTGGGAGGTTTTCAAATGACAGCATCCATTATAGGCTGTAATGCAGAGGCACCGTCCTCAACACGTTTTCCTCCTTGGATTAAGCACTGTGTGTTTACCCATTAAATCAACTTTAAAGGTGAATTCTGTGAATAAACATCTTATCTTTCCATAAGGATCCTCATGGTTTTGGGGATGTTGACCTATGGCTCAGCCACTGTACCGCTTCTGGTTTTCTACCCTTGCCAAGGGAATAACAGCTCTATGTGAAGGGCACCGCAGAATCTCATCCTCATAATGTTTTCTTTTGTTTAATTGCAGAAACTATCCCAGGAGAGAGTGAGAAGTAAGTACCATGAAGTAACTCACTTCATGAGGAACAAACTTGCTGCCTGAGTGTATAGAAACCTGATTCTGGGATCCCGCTAGGAAGGAGGATTCGGGGTCTCCTGAGAGAAAGTGATTTGGCCAATATAGAACTCCAGCCAGAGAGGCTGTGGGAAGGTTTGTCTACCCAGAGCAAAGACCAGGGAATGATGTGTGAGGCAGCGTGGCTTCAGCTGGAGGAAGAGGCGTGGGTGAGTCACTCTTTCTAATGACTTGTCCTGATGTTTTTGTTTCTAAAGGCTGGATTCTGGGGAGCATCTTCACACTCACTGAAGATGACCCCCAAGGTAGGGAACTACTTTCCAGGTAGGACCTGAAGGGAAAGTGTTCCTAAGAGCCTTCAGGTTATCCCCGCTGCTTGAGGGGCTGAAGAAGGGAGTATGAAATCAGAAAGAAAATCAAAATGGGTGTGAGGTTTGGTTTGTTCTTTTCAAAGTTTGTTGTC